ATCAAAATAGAGAATAAAAATAAAAATGTACAAAAAAAACAAACAAATAATTGAAAACAAAATATAAACATAGAAAAAATACAACAAAATTGAAAAAATTTATAAAAATAAATAACAAAATATAAAAACAATTCAAAAAGATATTACACAAAAAAAATAAAAAAAATAATAAAAAAAAACAATATTTTAAAACAAATATAAAAAAATTAAAAAAAAAAGAAAAAAAAGGGGGGGGGGGGCGCTTTGGCTGGACGCCCAGCCAGCGGTGGTGGCGCCAGGTGCAGACGCCGCCACCAGTGGGCTGGCGCCTGGGCTGGACGCCACAGCCACGGCTGCGGCGCCTTGAATAAACGCCACAACCGTGGCTATGACGTCCAGCCCAGGCGCCAGCCTACTGGTGGCGGCGTCTGCAGCTGGCGCCACCACCGCTGGCTGGGCGTCCAGCCAGGGCGCCCCACCTCCGTCACGGCGGTTTTTCCTTTTTTTTTTTTTTTTTTTTTTTTTTTTTTACAAATTGTACCTTGCCTCCTTGGGACCTCCTTCCCTCCGCCGCCGCCGCCAATTCCTTGTCTTGCCGCCTCGACATTGCCGTTGTTTGAAATTTTTTTTTTTAGAGAGGTTGAAAGAAGATGAGCGATGAGAGTGTGAGTGTTTTTTTTAGGTCAAGGGCAATATTGTCAAACCAAGTGAATTTTGTGGGCTTTATGTAGTAATTTGTGGGCGATGTTTAACAAATCCCATATTCTAATACATGACACTAATATTTTAAAATCTGACAATAATATTCTAATACATGACAGTAATATGCTAATACCTGACAATAATATTCTTAATTAATTGACTGAATTGTTGCTAAAATTTGCTTATTTTGTTACAGGAAAACAATTAATTGTTAAGTAAACTCAAGAATTACTATGCATGGGTCGAATTCGTCATGTAATAATTTCTCACTTATTAATACTACCCTTAATTAATTTTGTTTTTCCTGTTGTTTATGTATTTTTCTGAATTGGGATTGTTGGATTAATAGAGGAAGAAGAAGGTAGTTGTAAAGCCAAATGTGAAGAACCAAACAGAGGGTAATTGTCGAGGAGGGCTTTCGAACCCACAGCGAGTACCAGCGAAGCCGCCGCTACTGCGGTAATTCCTAGGACTACGGTTGTGGTCCACCAGAGGACCATCGAAAAATCGAGAAGGTCGGCGTTGTTGGTGGTGCAAATTGTGGTCTTGCCATTTTTATGGAGGAGAGAGAAAATATAAGTTGCAGAAAAAGAGGAGAGAGATGGTGGGTTGTTGAGGAGAGAAAAAGAGAGGAAGAAATGATGGGTTTAATATCTGACTATTATAATCTATTTTTTAATATATTTAACCTATTTTCTGACAAATTTTTTTTTTCTGACAATTATAATATAGTATCTTATATTTATAATCTAATTTCTGACCATAATAATCTAATTTCTTACCATTATAATCTAATATCTGATTATTGTTATCTAATTTCTGACCATTAAGATTTTTTTTCCTCAATTTTTTTTCCTATTTGTATGACCAGACTCACGTGAATCCGTTCTACACAAAACTTTTACATAAACTAAACTTATTTTTTCTAAGTGAATGAACTAGGTTGTTATTGGAACATCAAATGGATATAGAAGCTCATTGAAATAATTTCTACTACCTCCATAACTCTGTTACATATTATTTGCAACGATTAGACATTTTTTCTCTCTACTTTATGTCAACTTGTTGCAAATAATATGTAGCGGAGGTAGTATCTAATTTCGGTGGTAGTAGAAAGGAGCTATTAAGAATTAAAAATAAGATGTAGACGTATAAAATTTGTAATAACAAATCAATTATTTTTTAAAATTTGTAATAGTATTAGTTCATAATTATAAGAAGATAAGATTTTAAAACAAATTAGTACTATTACAATTTAGGATAAGAACTAACTTTTCATGGGAGTAATAACTAATAAGAGATTTTATTTTTGTATACATTTCCGATTTTCTTTCCTTACTTTTCACATCACAACAGCTTGTAAACTTACCAACAAGAAATTATTATTTCATCCGTATGATATGCTCAATACATCGGTTGAAAATAAACCAACCATATTACAATAGAAGAAAGCTAACAAAAAGCTCATTTGGTAAAATAGAACATTTTTTTAGAGGTAGATGCTAACTATAGCACATGAAGTTTGACAATTCACCAGCAGTTGGGTCAAGTCTTTGTAAAGATAATTAACCAACTAAATATAGTTCGTTAGAGATCGTTTCTTTGGTCCCCCTTTGGCTAGCTTTCTATCTGAATTCAGCATTTGAAAAACCCCAAACCCTACTCGGCCACTCCCACTCCAAACCGTAGAAAGTTAATTTTTCAACCACTAATTAATGATAGGAGTACGGGTTTGTTCTTTTCAGCTTAATTTATGTTTTGTTCAGTTCAGCTCCTAATTTCTTTCTCTCATAAACAATTCATTTCAGCTCTATTCAGTTCAGCTCCAATCAGTTCAGTTCAGTTCAATTTAACTTCAATCAGTTCATTTTCGTTCAACTCAGTTCAGTAAATCAGAACATGCACTAAATAATTTGGAGTAGCCGAGTAAAATTACACGGAGGTGGTGAAATCTCATCTACATCACTACCATTAATCACTTCTTAATTTCTTATGCAGTTTTAAGAAAAAAATAAAAATAAAATTTTAAAAAATTATACAATCCATTACCTTACTAATAAATCTGATCAATGAAAAATTGAAATTTATATGAACAAGGTGTTTGAACTCCGTATAAAATAGACAAAATATGTAAATTGGCATCTTCACTGAAAAAAGATCAAGAGTACATAGTTAAAATGGATAGCTATCTCTAATGTACCATTAACCTAAGAAATATCAAGAGAGTTCCATAAAGATTTGATAATCTTAAATATTTTGTAACGACTAAAAACCCGATGTATATTAATATAGTGAATGGTGGGATTGGCGGTAACAAATAAGAAAGAATTTTGTTTCCAAATTCTACCAAATTCTTTCACGTGCTTCCTGGCAAAACTTGAGACACATTATTTTCTCTCTCTTCCTCATACTCTACTTTCTCTCTCTTCTTCATATGGTACTTTCTCTCTCTTTCATTTTCATCATATTTTCCCTTAATTTTTGCGATTTAATTAGATTTTCGGCTCAGATTCCTTCTCTTTAGGTGAAGTGAGCTCTAACTCGAAGAAAGAGTCATCGTCGTCGCTTTGCTCGGTGAGATAGTCGGAAATGGTAAAATCGGCAATGGTTTCAATACTTTCAGCGTCGCTAGCGGTGGTTTCGGCGGCGACTTTTGATTTGTTTGAGTGATATTACTATTTTTTCATGACTATTGTTAATTTTGTGTTTATTTTTGTTGATTTTGATACTTTGTTTTGCATATGTAGTTTAATTACTTTTGTGAAAAAAGGTCACTTTTGTTAAAAAAAAGGGTCACTTTTGTGAAAAAAAGGGTTACTTTTGTTGAAAAAAGGATCACTTTTGTAAAAAAAAAAAATCACTTTTGTGAATAAAAAATGGTCACTTGTGTGAATAAAAGAGGTCACTTTTGTGAAAAAAAAAAGGGTCACTTTTGTAGAAGAAAAATGGTCACTTTTATACGAAAAAAGGGTCACTTCTCGCAAAATGTTCGATGTACAATAAAATTATTGTAAACCAGGGGCAAAAGGAATTGTAATGAAAAATGAGTTACTACTTTATGAACATGTCCTTTGCCAATGATCATTATAATAATTTTCCATTCAACCAAGTGTTCGTTACCACTTAAGAGGTAATATCGCCTTGAAAAGAAAAACAATGAAGAAATATAACCTCCATAACGCTTTAATTTAATTTCTATCATTTGTGTACATAGTTTTGTGCAATAAAAAAGATTGTGTAATTTATAGGACCACTTGCTTCTAAGTAAAAGATGAGGTTTCAGGTAGGGTCGTAGGGAAGAGTGTGTGGGCTGCGGTAGCTGAAATCAATAATGAAAAGTGGTTAGAGTTTTATGGAACGAACCGAAACGAGAATTAGATAGAAATTTATAGAAAAGAAGTAGTACACGTTTGTGGAATTGATTTCAAAATGATGGGCATTACATGAAATAGTTCTTACCAAAGTATATAGAGAGTGTAGATTAATGATCAATTAGATTGATAGCCAAGTTCTAGTAGCCAAATAATACTTGTTAAGCTATAGATACTAGGCAATGTACGTTTAAGGGTTTTCTTTTCCTCTCATAACCAATGCCAAGTTTATGTCAATGAGCCAATTATTGCAATTAGGTTGAAGCGCATGTCACTAATAAATTGTAATTTCCTTGTTAAAGAAGAAATCGCAACCAAAATCGTACTCCCTCCGTCCCTAAATTACATTCCTCTTTAGAAATTTACACGGGAATTAAGGAGGAAAGAATAAGACAAATAACAATAATTAGATAATGCAATGGGAAGTACAAAGATAGATTAGTTATTACTCATGACATGACATGTCATCAATCCTTTGCAAAAAAAAAGGACCAATCACATGCTCCTAATTGAAAATTTTTAACCAATCATATTCATTGTAATTTGGCACAAGGATTATGAGTGAGATTAGGTAAGGATGAGTGAGAAAGCATTAAATATAAAACAGAAAAAGAGAGAGTAAATTCAAAACTTGCTCCAATTTCAAATTAATTAGCTTACAAAGAGAATCAAAAGAAGTTGACTAGGTTGATTCACTTTTCCAACTTAATCAATAAAATTTGACTACATACTCGTATAATTTAGCAGATAATGTTGTATTTAATTTTGCAATCATAATCATAATTGTGCGTAGTGATCACATTCCCATGCAAGTGATGTATTTTGTTAGGTACACATTAGATTTCATTAGTATTTAATTGATTACCACTTCCTTACACTATTCACTAGCAAGCTTTTCTTTGAATTAAGAATATGGAAAGGAAAGATCTTGCTTTGACGTTTATTTATTTATTTTCTTTTGACACACTACGTAACACAACAAAACAAATGTCAATCAAGTAAAATACTTTCTTGGTTTTTTTTACTTGATATATCGTTTTTCATCAATAATACAAAACTTTAACGATTTATAACTTTAATTTTTCTTAAATAAAAATTATAAAAGTTATACTTGTATATACTACGATGGTACTTATTGAGACGAATTTAAAAATATCCCACATACATATTATTCACAAAAGACGATCAAAGAAGAGGTGATAAATAGTATAAAAGTCAAAGCGGGTCAAGTAAAAAAGAACGGAGAAAGTATAATATTCTGATACAATTTTATTTATTTTTTTCTCGAGGAAAAATATAATGTTGTGGTACAAGGTTATATTAACTTTTTTTTTTTGTTACATTACTTACATGCCTTAGCATTCATAAAACATACGTGTAATTTTTTACCCCATTATAAAAATATAGTTTATTTAAAATCTTTAATTATACGGTTTTTTCACCAAATGCCCTTTAACTTTTTAAAAATTCACCAAATACCCTCAAGTTTTTCAAAATTCACCAAAACTTTTCTGATTGCAAGTTCCTTTTCTAAATTTGCCTTCTCAATTCTTAACTCATCAAGATTGTGTTTTAATTTTTCAAAATCTTCATTAAACTTAGGTAGTGATTCAGAAGAGGAACTTGACGATTTAAAGTCAGTACTGGCAAGCTTGTATTGAGTCAGTTCTACATTAACCATAATATTTTCATACTTGAGTTTTTCATTCATTTCTTTTAGAAGAAGATTCTTATCAAAAAGATCAAAGAATCTGCCTTGAACATCAGTACGCTGGTTCTCAATCCAGGCATTGTGTTCCTTGTAGACTTTAACAGCTTTTTCACATTCATTAAGCTTTTTAATATCAATTATCCAGTCATCTTCTATTTCTACAATGTAATCAATAAGTACTTCTTTAGGAAGAGTTCTAAGATGATTAGGATCAGCACGTACCTCTTTGGCCAGTTCATCATTGTAGGCCTTTTCATCACGTTTGGCCATTAGACATAAATTGGCTGTTTCTTCTTCAGGTTGTTCCTCCTCATCATCACTCTCAGAATCTCCCCAAGCAGCAATCATAGCCTTCCTAACACTAGTAGAAAAATACAAAAAGACAACCCCCAAATGGCACCGGTTCAGGCCAAATCGGTGCCAAAAATCGGCCTAAAAATGGGCGGGTTTTTAGACAAAGAGAAATGGCACCGGTTCAGATCAAACCGATGCCAAAAATACAAATGGCACCGGTTTGAACCGGTTCCATAAGATGTTAAAAAAAAAAACGGTTCAATTCACATAATAAACCCTAAAAAAAGTTCTCACTCCGCCTCTTTTTATTTCATTCCCTCTGATCTCCTTCTCTCTCCTCTCTCCCTTCTCCTCCTCTCCCTTCTCTCTCCTCTCATCTCCCTTATTGATCTTCATCTCCCATGCATATTCGATCTAGCTCCTCTCTCTAAACCGATCTTCTTTCATCTCCTCTCCCTAGCTTCTTCGATCTCCTCTCTTTCTTTGATCTACACCACCACAAATTCGACCACCGCTACAAAGCCCACCACCACAACATCACCACTGCCGCAAATCCGCCGCCACCACCACAAAGGTCGACGGCCGCCGCAAATTCCACCGACAATTTCTGGGTATAATTTATACGAGGTTAGGATTTAATTTGATTTTAATCGATTTTGTTGGATTTAATTTAGGGTTTAAAGTAATCAATTTTGGATTTTAATCAATTTTTCTGGGTTTATTTAATCGATTTTTTGGATTTTAATTCAATTTTTGTGGGCATAGTTATCCGAATTTAATGGGTTTTGTAAATTCGATTTGTTCTCGTTTTTTCTGGGTTTAATTTTGGGTTGATTAATCAATTTTAATTACATGCATGTGTTTTTTTTGGGTTTTTTTTAATTACATGCATGCGTTTTTTTTTTTGGTATAATTTATACAAGGTTATGGTTTAATTTATAAGTTTAATTCGATTTTAATCGATTATGTTGGATTGAATTTAGGGTTTAAGTAATCGTTTTGGATTTTAATCGATTTTTCTGGGTTTATTTAATCAATTTTTGGATTTTAATTCGATTTTTGTGGGTATAATTATCCGAATTTAATGGGTTTTGTATTTTAATTCGATTTGTTCTCGTTTTTCTGGGTTTAATTTTGGGTTGATTAATCAATTTTAATTACATGCATGTGTTTTTTGGGTATTTTTTTTAATTACATGTATGTGTATTTTTTTTATTTTGAGTTTCTGGATTGTTTTTTTTTCGGGGATTTTGTATTTTTTTTCAATTTTATTTTTTATAATTTTGTGTTTTCTGGGTATAATTATCTGAATATAATCGTTTTTGTTTTTTTTTTCAATTTTCAGTTTGTGAGTTATCTTCGTCGAAAATTGATGATCGATACTTTGCTTCTGCAATTCAGCTACTGAGCTCGTTCGTCGAATCCATTTGGTTTTTTTTTGGGCAAGTGTAAAACTACTGATTATAAATTTCAATTATATTATGTATTATGTAACATTTTGGTGATTATGAATTTCAATTATATTTGGTGTGTTATTACTGATTATGAATTAATGTTATAATTGGTGTTGTATTAGTTTTCTGCCAATTTTCAAGTGAACAAAGAACAAGAACAAAAACAAAACAAAAAATATAATTTTGGGCAGTTTTGGCACCGGTTAACCGGTGCCAAAACCAATGAAATAAATATTTTGGTTCATTTTTGGCACCGGTTAACCGGTGCCTAATTGAATATATGGCACCGGTTTTGAACCGGTGCTAAAAAGGGGGTATTTGGCACCCCCCACATAGGCAGCGGTTCAAACCGGTGCCTTAGACCGGGTTTGAACCGCTGCCAAAGCACTTTTTTCACCTAGTGTAATGTCTGTTTTGTTGTAAGGAGTCTTGTTGCTCTTGTTCTGTTCCTTGGCCTTCCCTTTACCTTTCTCAGTTTCCCACAAGGGGCATTCACGAATCAAGTGATCTAGGGATCCACATTTGTGACATCCGAAATCAGCTTTTGAGTTAGATGACTTTTTGGTGAAGTTCCTTGTTCTATTGTTTCGATTAAACATTCTTTTAAACCTTCTCACCAACATGGCCGCTTCTTCTTCATCTACCTCAGATTCTTCTTGATCACCAGCTTTGAGAGCTAAGCCTTTTCCTTTGTTCCCTTCACTATTGCTTGTTCTTAAGTGCAACTCATGAGTCATGAGAGAACCGACAAGTTGCTCAATGTTGAATTTCATGAAGTCCTTAGTTTCTTGTAGGGCAGTCACCTTGGCTCCCCATCTTTCGTCTTGAGGGAGGCTCCTTAAAACTTTCCTGACCTGCTCATCAATAGGTATTTGCTTTCCAAGAGAAACAAGCTCATTAATAATGTTAGTGAACCTTGTTAACATTTCCTGGATAGTTTCCTTAGATTGCATTTCAAAACGTTCATATTTAGACATAAGCAGATCAATTTTAGAGCGTTTCACTTCATTAGTTCCTTCATGTGTTACTTGTAGTAAATCCCAAATTTCTTTAGCATTTTTACAGCCCATAACACGATTGTGTTCATGGGGACCAAGACCACAGTGAAGTAATTTAACAGCAAGTGCATTAATTTCCATTTTTTTTCAAAATCTTCCTTATCAAATCCAGACATGGGTTTAGGTACTACCTCGTTTTGACCAACTGTTTTGGTAATTTCGAAATCACCAACTTCGATCACTCTCCAAACCTGGTAGTTGTCGGCTTTGATAAATATCTTCATCCTGTTCTTCCAATAGGTGTAGAATTTCCCATTGAACATAGGAGGACGCTGCGTAGAGTAACCTTCTTCCAGTTTCTCGTGATTGTTCATCTTGATTCCAGGAACTTAAGTCGTCAGGGTTTCCTGATTTCTTCGAGGAACCTGCTCTGATACCAATTGTTGATTCGAATGAACAATACAAGAGGGGGTGAATTGTATTGTAGAGGAACTAGGGTAATTTTTGCGGAATTTATAAAGGAACTCAAATAAAAACTAAAAGTGCAAAGAGAGATTTTACGTGGAAAACTTCTTGGCCCTAATCAAGAAGAAAAACCACGACCACAAGGGATTTTAAACTTAACTCTTAATAATAATAGGGCAAACAACCTATTACAAATTAAGACTCTAAACTCAAGTTCCTCTAAGAACTTAAGCTCCCTTCAACTGATCCCTTAATCAGTCGAACTCTCAAACTCTCTCTCTTTCTCCTTGCTTCACTCAAAGCAATAAAACACTCTTAGAGTTTCCCCAAACTCTAACCCAATACAACTCAAAGATTAAACTCTAAAATGCTAAGTACAGAGACACTCAAGGACTTAAGTGGATTATGACTCTTTTTCTAAAGCTAAAAGACTGTAATGCTCAAGTGTGTTTTTCCAACTAAAAACCAAGGCTATTTATAAAGGAGTTTGGCAGTTAATATCGCAGTTTCCTTAAACACCACTTAACCACAACTTCCTTAAACTAAGGAAGTGCAATTCGTGGATACTTGGGCAGCAAGCTGAGCATATTACAAGGAAGTGGTTTACTGCTTCCAATTTTTTCTCAACCTCCTTGACCAAGTAAAACAGTCGTTCATAAAGAAATTTTTCCAAATTAAATTTTCCAAAATAATAGGATAAAATTAAAACAGAAAATCCTTTTAACTAACAAGATATTTTAAAAAAGATATTTTTCGAAATAGAATTAAAACAAGTTAAAATATGGAAAAATAAAATCTTTATCAAATAAAATTAAATCCACTTAAATCATATCAATTGTCATGTACTTAATGCAAATACAAGTTGCCTAAAGTAAAGATAAAATACATTAGACTCCTTGAAATTCTGAGAAGCTTCGACTCTGAAGCTGCAGTTCCTCACTCAAGGAACTTCCCTTTGAAGCTTCAACTCTTGAGCTTCAGTTCTCTTAAAGGAACACGACTTGATTGATTTCTTTATTCTTCCATAGCTAGCTCTGATCTTGTTCCATGCTCCCTTCTCACTCAAGAATTTCTTAGCACAAACCTGTCATAAATTAAAACTAAAACCGAAAGTTAAACTTGTTATAGGTTTGCTTAGGTTCCTTGAGTCATCATCAAAACATATAAAGTCAACAGTTAATATATCATATCATTTGCTAAGAGACATAATAATGTTGGTGAAAGCATACATAACTAATCGCTACGACTTTTTAACAAGAAGTTGAAGTTATATCAGAAATCACTATCAATTTAGTTTATGAACCAAAGTGGCCAACAATGTATCTAATGCGCAGCAAAAGACGGCTAATAAACTTGTAGTGGGCAGTGGTTGCTCGTTGTAATTTAATTTACAAGTTTTGTTCATTTCATTCTTTTTTTTTGTCAATCTCAATGTCTAAAGGAGTTGTTGGATCATTTGACATTTCTAAACAACTTCAATAGAAAATTGATTAAACTATGGATAGTGTTGTTTTTTTTTCTTTGGAAAACATTCATATTGTTGTATGATTAAACAGCAAATATAATAATGGCAGTAGGTCAAAGTTGAAATTGACGGTGTTGTCATATAGTCTTCTTCTTTTGTTTAAATTTAGTTTGTCCTCATATTAATGTACATAAAGTTAGGTTAAATTTAAGAGCATCTTCACTTTTACTTAATTTCAGTTCAACTCAGATCCAATCACTTCAGTTTAGTTCAGTCCTCATATTAATGTACATAAAGTTTGAGAGTATGGTTTTAATTGAGAAGTAATTAATTGGTTTTTTTTTTCTTGAAAGATTTTCCAAAAAAAAATAAAAAAATAAAAAAATAACTTAACAATTTTCTGATTATTAAGAATTTTTATTTCGGATATGTTTATAATTTTAATCCAAACAAACACTAATACTACCATTATATACTACCAGTACTTGACAAATCAGGTGAGTACATAATTTGTATAGTCTGTCTATCTTATATACTTGTATGTACTAGCTCCAATCTCCTTTTTAGTTTGTTCATTTGAGTTTACTATGCACTAAAAATTATATTATTTTGTGTAAAGGATCACGGCTTTACTCTCGTATTTAATTGCATTTAGTTCTATCACTTTTCTTTGCCAAAAATTAAGAAGTAATTAAGTTTCATCCTAATGAAACGAACAGTTAGGAGCAAATAAAATAATTGGTGCTTGTCATCTTTTAATTCAAAAAAACGAGATAGTTTAACTGGACATGTGCCGAGCCATCATGTCACTGTAATAGCCCAAGTTAACGCATGTCTGCCATAAGTCTAAAGGCAAGTTAGTGTCATGGACTATGAATGAACATCACTTACAAATTTTGGCATAAGCTTGACATAAAAAAAAAAAAAAAAAAGAAAGTACAATGCTAATGGCACAATAAGCCTTTTTCTTTGTCTATTTAAAACACAACTTAAAAGCACGCTAGCACAATATATGAGCCGAGTTGGAAGAGAAGTCTAGCCCGGCCCATGCATTTGTTCTATGCATCTCTTCTAAAGAGAATCATGGGAATCCAAAATGTGACTTAACTACTCAACAAACAGTAATCATATCCTACGCCAAATTGGGTGCCTATATTCAAAAATAGTTAAACCTTATCTTTCTAATCTCTCTTCTCCCCCATGAACTTCTTTACTTAAAATAAAAATTACAGTAGTATGTTTGTTACAAATTGAAGAAAAGAAAACAAATTTTAATAATAATATACCATGTTTGGATGAAATCTTAAAGGAAAACTTTCCTTGTCAGAGAGGTTCTAAGACAAAAAAATGGGCCCACAAAAATGTGTTTAAATTCAGCTTCTCACCCTCCCATTTCTTCCAACTTCAAACTTAACCAATAACTCAACTTCCCCCTTTTTTTCTCTCTCCTCTATTTAACCAAACAACCCTTTACTCCATTGTATTATTCTTCTTCTTCTTTTCATTGAAAATGTTGGGATTTAACAATATGATTATGTTAATCATGTTGTGTTACATATGTTTTTCAATGATTTCCCCTGTTTATGGGAATGTTTGGTATGATAATAAAGCTATTACAATCAATAAACAGAGGAGGATTCTCCTCTCTGGGTCCATTCATTACCCCAGGAGCACCCCCGAGGTATATGTTTTTTGCGAGGTTGTCTGATTTGTCTCGTTGATATGCATATCACTCGTACATAATTTGGTCACTATGTTACCTCATTAAGGGTATTATAGGAAGTTCGGGTAAAAATGAAAATTTTATAAAAACTTGGTATATAAATATAATAGTAAAAATTTTATACATAATTTTTGTTGTTGTTTGATGATGGTAGATGTGGCCTGATCTTGTACAAAAAGCTAAGGAAAATGGATTGGATGTTATTCAAACTTATGTTTTCTGGAATGGGCATGAGCCTTCTCCTGGCAAGGTACTCAAAATTAGAAATTCACACCTTTTTTTTTTTACTAGTTTATTTAGAATTATATTAATTTTGTAATATATTGACTAATTTTGTTTTATTTGATTTTGTTTTGTAGTTTAATTTTGAAGGAAGATATGATTTAGTAAAGTTTATTAAGCTAATACAGCAAGCTGGACTTTACGTTCATCTCAGAATTGGACCCTTTGTTTGTGCTGAGTGGAACTTTGGGTAATGCAAAATTTGTTACTTTTAACATTGGCAACTATATCATTAGTTTCAAATTATTGGATAACTTTTTCATATTACCAAGTATGAGTAAGAAATTTATATAAATAAAGTTACGTTAAGAAATGTCACATAGACTAAACTCATAAGCAATAAAAGATCGTTTTCAAATAAGACACTTAACTTATGCGAACTCAATTATTGTACGGAGTAACTAATAAAGAGTAGTTCTCAATAAAGGACAATTGACTTAGGTGAACACAAAGTCATTCGAGATGACCTAATCAAGGATCAAAATAGATAAAATTAATAAATCATACTTAGTGCCATAAATTAGTGTACAGGAAAAGTGAATGGTGCTTTCCTTTTGTCTAATATTCACTCAACCACTTTTTTTTTCAGAAAGTATTTTATTTATCAATAATATATGATTAATTTATTAATTAATATTTTTATAATGGATAATTGTTTTGTTTCATATTCAGGGGATTTCCTGTGTGGCTCAAGTATGTGCCTGGCATTGAATTTAGAACTGACAATGGACCTTTCAAAGTGAGTCACTAATTTGTTTTTATTGTTTAAAATTAATTCTTTTTTTCATTTCATTTTTGTCTTTTTGGGATTCTAATTCATTTTTTCTTATATCTAAAGTTTTTTTATTCACATAAAGTTTAGTTAAATTTGTGGCTAAAATGTTTGTTTTATCTTTTTGAAAATTTTGTACAATGAAGGAAAAAATGCAAGATTTCACAGCAAAGATAGTCAACATGATGAAGGCAGAAAAGTTGTTCCATTGGCAAGGAGGTCCAATTATACTGTCTCAGGTTTGAAATTTGGACTAATGATTCTATTCTTTGTCAAAGTTCATCCACTAGTAGTTATAAACTGTCTTGTAAGAGTAATTATTATATATTATTTTAAGGACGTCGTAAATTCTAATTATTGTGGAAATTTCTAATGATTGTTATTTGTCTATCCTTTCTTTGCATTTTGTAAGTTACGGAGTATTTAGTAATCTCGTGATATATAAGATAAAATCTACAGTATATTCTAATAAATTAAATCTTTAGGAATGATGATCTATTATCCTTGGAAAATGATATTATCCTATAGTCTTATAGCATGTGATTGAAATTGTCTTATCTGTGTTCTATTAAGACAAAAATTTCAATGATTGTTATTGTTCTTTCATTAAAATACGTCATGTATACTTTATCATATAGTATTATCTACTCCGTATCTCATAAAGTAACTGAGGTGACGTTAACAAAGATGTGACGTTTAAACATACCTCGTACAAGTTAAAATATTCTTTAAAATTGCACCATACCATGATATTATCTTGTGAATTGACCTAAAACTTAATTTTCCACCTTAACTTGATATTGTATCATAATTTCAATAATCTTTTAACTCATTTACCTGTTGCAATTTTTACTATGCAACAGATAGAAAATGAGTATGGGCCAGTAGAATGGGAAATAGGTGCAACTGGTAAGGCTTACACAAAATGGGCAGCTCAAATGGCTGAGGGTCTCAATGCTGGTGTACCTTGGATCATGTGCAAGCAAGATGATGCACCTGGTGATGTTGTAAGTCCGACTCCTAAGTGTGTTTTTATCATTGCACAGTCATGATTGCCTTGGCGTTTTTATTATTTTGCTTTACAAACTCCCTTACCAATTATTTTCATATCATTAAAGATTTTAGTTACCAATCTACCATATGTAATAATTGATCAAAAAAAGTTGGTTTGAAATGATTTTCCACCAACTTTCTGTTATTCTAATGTTTCTATTTGGTACTATTTTCACCTAGCATCAAATTCCTTGATTGAGTTGCACCCAATACTTTCATTCACTAACCACTTTTTGGCATTTGACTATGACAGATTAACACTTGCAATGGCTTCTACTGCGAAAATTTTGTCCCAAACTCCAAATCCAAACCCAAGATTTGGACAGAAAATTGGACTGGCTGGTATGTCACACTCACACATACATCGCCTTTTGTTGTATTATTCACATCTTGTTCTTCTTTTGATCATAATTAGTTTCTGAAATTGTTTACTTATATGATTTCTTAAGGTACACAAAGTTTGGTGGAGCAGTTCCTTACAGACCTGCAGAAGATGTTGCCTTTTCAGTTGCAAGATTTATACAAAATGGTGGTTCATTTGTTAACTATTATATGGTAAAAAATTTCAACTGATTATCAACTGTCAATACATGTTGGACAGTCCATGAACTCAAAAAACTTGCCATCAATGAACTTGCTTCAATTCTTTACTTGCTTGTTTGCCTCAGTTTCATGGAGGGACAAACTTTGGCAACACTGCTGGTCGTTTTGTTGCTACGAGCTATGACTATGATGCTCCACTTGATGAATATGGTAATCACATTAGGACAGTAAACTATAATCAAGAAGTAACTTTGTATTGGTTAATAGTTTGTGTAATATTTGAATTTTGATATATGTATAGGTTTACCAAGGGAACCAAAATACACTCACCTGAAAAATCTGCACAGAGCAATCAAAATGTGTGAGCCTGCCTTAGTTTCTGCAGATGCAAAAGTGACAAAACTCGGGAAAAACCAAGAGGTAATTAGACTAAACTGCACTGCAGTCTGTAAACGCATTCTGAACAAAAATTTGTTTTTTGATAGCTAATTTGATTGAAAAAAACCTTCTGCAGGCTCACGTCTACAGCTCAAATTCAGGGAGTTGTGCAGCCTTCTTGGCAAACTATGACGCGCAATGGAGTGTGAAAGTTACTTTCAGCGGCACACAGTATGAGCTGCCTCCATGGTCCATTAGCATCCTTCCTGATTGCAAGAAAGAGGTGTACAACACTGCAAGGGTATGTAAATCATCAAAATTTTGTTCTTCACTGTCCCTTATTTGTCCTTAAGATTCAAAATCAGAAAACCTCCCTTGGGGAACAAAATTGAAAGCTCGGCTTTGTTGTGAAGCTTATGTTTACTTGTTTTTCTACAGGTTTCAGCTCCACGCTACCATGCAAAGATGACACCAATCAGTGGTTTCTCCTGGCAATCATACATTGATGAAACTCCAACAGCTGATGATGACAGTACTTTCTCAGGTTCAGGGTTGTACGAACAATTGAATGTGACTAGAGATAACTCTGACTACTTGTGGTACATAACAGAGTATGTATCTTCCTCTATTTGATATATATTTGTAATTTGTTACCTTTTCTTTCAGTGTGTCATGATCGTTTTGTTGATTTCTGATTTACTTCACATTTTCCAGTGTTACAGTGAAAACCTCAGAAGAACCAATTCTCACAGTTATGTCAGCAGGACATACTTTACATGTGTTTGTCAATGGCCAATTTCAAGGTAGAAAGAGATAGTATGACATTGCTCTCCAACTTGTATTATTTGTTCATTTTACATTTTTTATTGTTAAACTTGCCGATACCTATGATTTTCAGGTACTGCTTATGGCTCACTGGAGAAACCACAGTTGACATTCAGCCAGAAGGTGCCATTGAGGGCTGGTTTGAACAAAATTTCCTTATTGAGTGCTGCAGTAGGACTTGCGGTTAGTTTCTATCATGAGAAGTGTTTTTCTGACTGACTCACTTGCAGCTGTCACCTTTCCTTCATGCTAACTTATCTGATTTTGTTGAATTCCTTCAGAACGTTGGTGCACACTTCGAAAGGTATAATCAAGGGGTTCTTGGTCCAGTCACACTGCAGGGTCTGCGGGAAGGAACATGGGACTTGACAAGATCAAAGTGGTCTTACAAGGTCTGTCTTTGTCCACACTTTTGGAAAAAGGCCTAAAAGTTACCAGGAATAAAATATCTTAACATGTACTTTTGTGAGCAGGTTGGAATGAAGGGTGAACAACTTGGTCTACACACTATCAGTGGAAGTTCTTCCGTGGAGTGGGAGCAATCAGCAGTGGCGCAAAAGCAGCCATTGACATGGTATAAGGTAAGGATATCCAAGTAAAACAACCGTTCTGTTTCTTCTCTGCACAGATAGTTATTGAAAAAATAATCAGCCTTACAAGAGCGATTTCTGACTTCTGCTCCCCATATTCAGACTACATTCAATGCACCAGCAGGAAGTGATCCATTGGCTATAGATATGAGCAGCATGGGAAAAGGGCAAATGTGGATAAATGGTGAAAGCATTGGCCGTCATTGGCCTGCAAACAAAGCGAGTGGCAAATGTGGGCAGTGCAATTATGCTGGAACTTTCACTGAAACTAAATGCCTAGGCGAGTGTGGAAAGCCCTCCCAAAGATGGTAAAGAAAATCCCCGTCTCTTTAATATTTCCTACTTATATATTATCTTAGTGCTTGTCACAAATATATATATTTCATATTATAGGTACCATGTTCCACGCTCATGGTTGAAACCAAGTGGCAATCTTCTGGTTGTTTTCGAAGAGATGGGTGGTGATCCAAGAGGAATTTCATTGGTAAAAAGAACAGCTAAGTAACTGCAGACTCAAACTCTGCTGTTGGATATGATCACTTGGTTTACTTGACTACAAGATGGTACATAGCGTTCATGGTTTGATTCTGTTTCTGGTATATGATAAGCACCCTTGGCTGAGAATCAACCAAGAGGTGGATCTGTGCTGCTATATCTCCGTTTTACAGGTCATTCGATTAAAGCCGAATGCAACTGCTGTCAAAAAAAACTGCCAACTAAGTTGTTGTTTGTACATAAATACACAACAGATTCGGAGATGTAGCTTTCTTATTGTAAGAAATTCTAGGGGCTTGAATGAACAAAAAAATATACCTAGCTCTTGTTTGTAACATTCAGAGCAGAAATTTGTTCTGACATGATACGCTCTTTATTCATCTTCATTTGTATACCTAGCATTTCAGCCTATGTTCATACTATCAGTGAAATTCGTAGTATGAAATGCATATCCTTGGTGTGTTTTATAGTGTGTGCTACCATTTTCTCATTAATTAAGCAATACAGTTCTGTAATACTCATCATTTATTTATCAAGTCAGTCAATCAGGTTGTTTTCAAGTCAGATAACTGTGTTTTTTTATGTCAGCCGGTTTACTATTGGTCTTTTTTTGGAAAAAAAATTCCTAAATTTGAAGTTTTTGAAGACAAGCAACACCAGAAATTGCTAAAAACAAGTAGTGTAGACTTAAATGCAACCAAACTATCATGTGTAAGCTACACTTATAATAACTTTCACGATTAGATCTCTATGATTGAGGAAGTTACATCAATACTTTTCATTCACTCGATGTTTAAGAGGGCAGTTCAAGTAAAAAGAAAAGGGTGCAAGAGAATACTTGTAAATTTGTAATGAATAATAAGGCATACTTTTGTACTGCATACAAAAATCAACCAGTATCAAAATTAGGCAACAAAGTATCAGGAAAAAAATAGACATAAACTCACAATCATGTAGGAGCTTTTCTGATAAAAGATCACAAGAGAATTGAACCATCCCAATTCCATATGGTAGCTTTAGGAAGGATATCCCATAATCCCATATAAACCCACATCAAGTTTCATTACCTTAATTGGACCTTAAGGTTCCTAGCCTTGGACGAGTACCAATGTCATCTCTATTTTGGTAGATGGATGGATGATCAATTTTAAGTTCAATTGTAAGGTCATGGGACTTTAAGTCACATAGCAACATAAATTTATAACTCATATGAAATACTTTATGAAAGAGGTCAATAATCTCAATACAGGTTTCTAAACTTCTAATTGAACCAAATAAAAAACAAGTAAAGCTTGATTTAGTGGTAAGAATTGAACTTCATTCTATCCTTTAAGAAAAAGAGTTCCTTCTTTAATCCTCGTTAGGATTGACCTGTGAGAGGTTCCGGTCTAATAAGGTAATTAATCTCACCTATCTTAAACAAAAAAGTAAATAAAATCAAATTTGTCCTCCATGTTTGTTTTTTTTTTTTTTTTTTTAAAAAAAACAAATAAAAATTAAATTAATTTTTAAAAAATGAACAGAAATTGAAATGGGAAAGTGTGGTGGAATGGCAGGAGAGTACAAATCTCTTCCCTCGCCGGCTATAGTGATCAGTTGATGGTCCAGACGATTAAACCAATAGACAACAACACCAACAATTCTGATATTTTTCCGTCGAAATTAATCATAATACAGAAAAATGGGCGTCAAATTTGGCACTTCTCAACGACACATTCTAATTGCGACGCTAATTCTTCATTTCAGCTTTTGTATCATCTCTTCAGCTTCAAATCAGGTCAGTAATCCTCACATTCAATCTCTAGTCTTTAAATTTTTTCCCCAATCTTGCTATTTAATTGCTTTAGTTTCTTGAATTGTTAAAAAAAAATAAAATTGTATGATCTGGTAACAAGTTTAAGAGAACAATGAAATGTGATTTGCTTCTTCTGTTGAATTCTGAGTTTTTCATGGTAACAATTTTTACTTTTTTTTTTTTTTGGTTTTCTTTTTGTGAGATTAGTAGAATGGGAATGTTTTAGGTTGATTAGTATTTTTGACAAATCGATTTCTATTGTACAACCGATTTTACAGTACAACTGAGTAACTTTTTTATGCTTAATTGCTCTGTAGTGAGGTTGTATCGTGCACATGGTATAGCCGGTTGTATCGTGGATGCTTTGTCATGTATTTGATTGTGCAATGGAATTAGTTTCTGTTATTGAATTAGGTTTGTGGAAGAAGAATGGTTTTAGACCATGTTATTGAAATATTTAGAGTTAACCTATTGATGAAATTTAAGACATCCTATTAATTGTTTGATTAAGCTACAGCGAGTTGGCTTAGGAAACCATTCTGTTTTGGAGCCAATGTAACATGGTAATTACCAATTGGTTGTTTGTGTAGTGGTGATTGGGACTACATTTGGTAGGGAGGACCCATGTTCGATCCCCCGCAACAACACTTGGGAGAGGAGTGGAACCTAACCACCCATAATTGATCCCCGAATCCGGATTAGCACAAAGGGTAAACAAGGTGGAACACCAAAAAAAATGTAACAGGGTAATTAGGTCTAGATCTTTTGTCGAGTTAGGATAACAATATGGAACGTTGCTTAGAGTCCTTGGAGATGACCTTTCTAATGCTCTTTGATTAGTAGGGGTGAGGCTGCCAACGTCTAGATTTTCCCCTCGCCCCATTCAGATTGATCTTGAAAACAGAAGTACTTATTCCATACTAGGGTGTATGCCTCTTGTACGAGTTCTTTGAGAGATTAGAGTCCATGTCATGCTTAAGCTTCTTCTGGAATTGTTGGTTGAGACTGATAGACTTTTCGCCTGTTTCTTTTTAAAGGACTCCAGATGTTTAGCACCAGAAACAATGCTTTACATATGCATATAATGGCGGAAGCAGGCATATTTTTATGCTGGCAGATGTGATGTCTTAACTCTTAAGTGCATCCTGTTGTGTGGAATTTGAATATTCTGCGCTATACTCAGAAGTCTTGGCTGGAAATTCTGTCATGAACTTACATAATGCAATGTCATTGTTTTTATTTTTGCATGGGAGGGAGGGAAAATTGACTTAATTGCAAAGTAGTGGTATGTTGTTGGATTCATTTTGGTGCTCTGTGATATGATTGATTGGTTGTTACTCTTGTTGTATTCAGAGTTATTGTTTACTGAGTCCTAAATAACTCTCCATAGCAAATTGCTGTGTCATTATGGAAGTTATTTTTTCATTTTCTGAATTATGTATAAAATTTTCTATTCCTAAAATGGTAATATTTTTTTATCTTTTGAGAAATATAACATTTTGTTATGGCATGTGCATTATTCGTAATTTAACATTTAATGACACTCAGAAGATCATTTTTAACATTTATCTCTTATGAGTACTTTTCGATCGAACTTTGGTTCGGAACAGATATGGTATTGCATGCTCTGGTCTATTTTGTTATCTATTTGAACAAGGAAATTCAGTGTTTGACCATGCTTGCCTTCATTTTGTTTATTCCAGGAAACTCTTCATGAGTATAATGATAACACTCAGAAGCACAGCATGAATTCCTTGCCTTGTTTTGCAAGATATGTTCTCGAGTCATTTTCCAAAGAGTATGAAAGCTTCACTGATTCAAATTTTTTAGAGTATATGGAACAAAAGATTCTTGTTCGCTCTGAGCCAACATTTTTTAAACTTTTGAACTTAGAGCGCCGTTTAATTGGAGAGGGTTCTCATCGTCGTCTATCTTCATCATTCAAAATAAGTGTTCAGCCAGATCTGATTGGTGACTTTTCCTCACAGATCTGTGAGCTCGTGATCATTGAAAGACTACCATCTGGGGTTTTTGCTGATCCTTTTGAGCTTCAACATCTTCGTGACCGAGGAGGTGCTTCTTATGTGTATTTTTGAAATTTGCACTAACTATTAATCTTTCATTCTTTCCTGACATTGATCCAACGGATCTTTGTTGCAGTATTCAAGGATGCTTCTGTTTTTGGAGATACAAATTTGGAATTGCCATCATTTCTTTCCAATCAGTCAGTTGTTGAAGTTCACTTGGATGCAGCCTTGAATAATTCAGCAGGGCAGGAGACTGTGCTAGAGTTCAAGATAGAGATACCATTGCATGCTCGATATTCTGTAAGCAATATCATAAATTATCATAGTAACTTTAATCGGCTAAATCCTTTATAGAAATGTTACTATTACCTGAAAGTTTCTGGCTTCATAAAATATTTATGTCTGAGCATATTGTGAATATGTTTTGCTAAAAGTTTCTGCCTAGTGCCTACACTGTCCATTATTTCAAAAAGGGCTTCTTGCTTCATGGAGCACTGATGTCCCTTCTCTATATTGTAAGGTTCCTTATGACGGTTCATGTTACCTGGCCCCAAAATCATTTTGGGTCTAAGGCTTTGTTGTTATTGTTGTATTCAAATATCGTGAGGAGTTATTGTTTCTTGTACATATTTTGTCCAAATAAAAAAAAAAGTTTCTTTCACAAAGGCAGATTAACTTTATATATTGGCTTGGGAACACATAAGAATTAAGGCTGCTTGGAAGATTGCACTTCATAGACAACAATGTTTAAGTTTTCATTTTATCAAATTTGCTTACTAAATATAGGGAAATCCTATTAGCCTATAACTTATATGAAGTATAGGAATGGTGATTCTTTATAGCCCTAAGAGATATGGAATCAGTGAATCACTCATCCAACCTAGGAATATAAGCAAAATTTTTGAGAGATCAGCTAGTGAATTGCTTACTAGAGGTCATTTAACAGCTATCGTGAAGCTGAGGGTTTTGGTGCTGTCATGAATGTTTTGGTACTGAGTTCAAGTTAAAAGGATATCATATAACCTGGATAGAGTGCTTCTATTTGGTGTCTGGACTGGGGTTAGGGTTTAGAGAAGCATATTGCACTAGGATGAATGGTGCATAAATGCTGAATTATTATGTTTGCTGTAAATTTTAATTCTAGCCAGACATTGCAATTAAGTTAATATCTTCTTTTGGCAAAAACTCTTTGTCTTCTAAGCAGCACAATTGTGTCATTTAATTCACTGATATAGAGCATTGTGACTTTATGACCCTGATCGGTCCTGATGTTTCACCTAATACTCTCTTTGTCCCCAAATGATAGTCCCTTATGGTCAAATTTTAGTCCCAAAATGTTCACCCCATTTGCTTTTTCCAACAACCATTAATATTATTTTTTTTACCAAAATTCCCTCCAATTTGCAACAATATTTGTGCAAATTTAAATTTTCCATGTAAATTTTGTTTTCCCATGTACTCCGTACTTTTATTATTTTCTCTCTACTTTTTTGCATACCCAATGTCAATTTACTTTTTCAATGTACTTTTACTATTCTTATGTGTTTAAAATGCCCATAAGGGACTATCAATAGGGGGCGGAGGGAGTATAAAGCAATTCTCTAATTTTGCATTCACCATTTATCTTTTACTTGCTTAATAATATTCTATTTCATTATCTAAAAATTGATTGACTTAGCTCAAAATAGAAGGCATTCAGGCTTCACTAACATTCAGAAATGGTTTTGCACATTTATTGTACAACCCAAAAGGCTATAGAAATCCTAGCTCACTTCATCAGCAGATGGATGCATTGTCTAAAATAGTGCCACCTACAAAATTGTACACCTTAGCTAAGCATATGTTGCTGCTACTTTTCTTTGACTTGGCTATGGTATCTATAAATGTATGTTGATAATTTGATATTATATACTAGTTTCTAAGCTTGCATTTACCATCCCATGTTTTTTAACAGCCCCTTGAAGATAGTGGATATTCAAAAGTCAGATTCGGTGCACCTGACTTGTTCTTGTACTGCAAATTGCATGGGAAGTCACCAGCTCAAAGCTGTTCATTGTTACCCATTACAAGTAGTGGTTCTCTGGAACTTGATGATATTGTGTGGACCATTCCAGCGGGTATCAAGGCCCATTCAAGAATGGTATCTGTTGTTACTTTTATGTCAGCACTCCTGTCAGCAACTTTTATCATCATTGCTTCCTTGCAATCTTCACCTATGAAACACAATGGAAGATCAAAGCAATCATGATAAGTGATAACTAGTGATGATCATGCTGTCTTATGCCTAATCCAGTGGTGACAAACAGATTTTGATAAGGTTTTCCAAGAGCCTTTCTGCACAACCACATCTTTCGTTGAGTTTCTATAACAGTCCTGTGAGGAGCATAGATGTTAGGTTTTGCAAACCCTGGTAACTTTTATGTTTGACGTTTTTCTGCCTCTGAATGTTTTTTCATATGGTCATTGCTTTACAAGTGTGGATATTAGATTTATGTGTTCTGTAGAGTTGGCTGCATGTGTGAAGTAGTTGGGTTATACTAGCCAATTGATTTAGGGCTAATGTTCTATACAGAATAGGAAGCAAATTCGGGGATCTGTTGTCAGTAAGAAAGTCCTTGAGTTTTCTGTGCCAGACATTCCATTAGAAGTTGGCTTTTCATAGAGATGTAAAATAGAACACGATGTTGAAATTGATTCATTTATGAAATTCGAGTATAACAAGTTTTGAATTAATGTATAATCATCATAGTAAGGGATATTTTACAAATTTTTTAGTTTTCACCTTTCTGTGAGGATTATTAAACGCTGCATAAGTCTCAAACTTATAGGCCATACCTTTATTGTCAATATTTATCAACTTTAACTATGAATTTAACCAATATGAGTTGTATAATTACTCATAAGTCATACAATAAATCATTTCATATTGCGAACCTGTTTTGACTTGCATAGTAAATAATTTAAACTTTTAACCATTAATCTGTCACAACTTTCACGAAGTATATTGATTTTCAGTATGCATATTTCTGTTATTGTAAGAGACAATTTTCGTAATTTTATGTTTTCGATTGTTTTTCTATCTTATTATCATTAATAAACACATGCTCATAATTTGACCTAAAAGGATTGCAAAAGAATAAACAAGGTTATGGTAACGACCCACTTTACCCTCTTTCTATTTGTTCTTTTGCAATCTCTGCCAGAAATGAATGCCAAGGGGCTATTTATAGGCACTGATTTCAACCCATTTGGTTAGGATAACAACTCACTATACCCACAATCTAAGTAACTGCCCATTTTGAGGTTAGTAAATGGCTGACAGAAGTCTTGGTGGAGGAGCTTGCATGTGGATCCCTGGGCACATGAGCACTCCCAAGCAAGTTAATAGCGAGATTAGGCTATCACTTAGGAAAAATTACTCTAAATAATCCAACCTTTGCCCCGTTCTCCTAAAATAATCTCACCTGTAGATTATTCTAGAATAATCCCGCCTTTATACCCCTTCTTCCTAAAATGAACCTAAATGACCATTTACCTAAACAACCGGTCATGTCTTTCTCTTTCCTTCTTCCCACTATTTGCCATCACCTTCCTCCATTACCCCCACCCAATGCCATCACCTCCATTTTATCTTCCCTTTCTCTCTTCCTTCCCCAACCACCCCTGCCCCTTCCACCCAACAGACATGCCACTACCCGTCCCCCTCAGCCACCTTGCTTCCCCTCCCCTTCCCCGTAGCTACCTTGCCCCTCAACACCCACACACAACCTCCCCTGCTCTCTTATTCACCACCTGCTACACACCCCTTAATGATTCAACACCAACACAAACAGCCGCACCTCATCTCCTGATCTCAGCAGCAAAACCACCATAATCAGCGGCGCCTCTCCATCAGCGCACCATCAATCGCCTGCTGGCCATCCACACATAACAACCACCGTCACAGCCCCTAATGCATCATCCACCGCTGCTATCACCGCACAGTAGTTGCGACCCCCCTTCTCCCCGTCAATACCAGCAACGACCTCCGATCAAAGCAGCGACACCTCAAGTCACCCGCAAGCAATATACAAACCCCCAAATCGCCAATTTGGCTTACATGTAGCGGCAATTAGCAATTACTCCCTCCATCCCTTATTTTTTGCTCCATTTGACTTATCACGGTTTCCAAGAAGTGTCTTTAAACGCATATATCTTTATTTTATAAGCATATAAATTATAAAAACTAAATATTCATAAAATATACGACGAATTGAATCCAACATGACCCCACTGGACTTTTAATATTGCAACAAATGGACTTTTTGCACTATTCATCACTCTTGTTTGACCATATAATATGATTTATACATTAAACAAAATATAGTCATGTGAGATTATGTTGGATTTGTCTCATAAAATACTTTCACAATATCAACTTTTTATAATTTTTACTCTTACACATTCATAGATATTTAGTATATAAAATTTGCCTTGGGATGCGTAATTTCATCCTTGTTGCAATATTAATAGAACGGAGGAAGTATATATTAACGAGAATTAATGGTCAAAGTTATCAAATTTTGACCCAAATATTAGTAATGGGGCAAACAATAGGGACAAAGGGAGTAGCAATTAAGGTCATGGAAGATGGGAAAGGAGAGAGAAAGAAGGATGGTGGTGAGTGGTGACTAAGGTGGTGAAGGAGGAAGAGAGAGAAAGAAGAAAGAAGGTGAGGGGAGAGAAACCAATTGAGGTGGGTGGGGATTTTTTTAACTTCTTTAAATAACTCAAATTTTTTTTTAAAAAAAAGTAAATTAAAAACAAAAACAAAAAACCAATCATGAAGTGCCACGTAGCACATATAAGCAGTTGTACCAGATGCAAGGTGTGATATGGGAAGATGGGGGTAAAAGGTTGGATTAATCTGGAATAATCGAAAGGTAAGATTATTTTGGGAGAACGAGGCAAAGGTTAGACTATTTATAGTAATTTTTCCTTCTGTTTATAGGGTGGGGGGAGTTGTAGCTTCTCTAGTCGCATTCGGGCTCAAAATCTGATACCATGCAGTACTAATCTAGTATGGAGAGCACTTGGAGAAATCTTTAGTTGGTTGTTTAAGCCAGCTATTTACAAAAGTGTGTGGCGAGATTACTTGTGGCTATTAGCAGTTTATTAGTGAAAAGTGGGCCAACAAGCCAAAAGTTAATTAAAAAAGCTACTCCTATTGGCTTTTAGTTTTTGGCTGGAAAGCCAGCTTAAAAGCCAGCAACCAAACATATTTTTTGGTTGTTTGACTAAACTAAAAGGCCAAAAGCTAGGCAGAAATTTAATTGCCAAACACCCCCTTTGACCCTTATGAGAGTATGAAAATGCAACCACAGAAATGTATGATGCAACTAATCAAGGTGATAGGTATTCTTTGGTGCCTCATTCAATGATACACAATGGTTGCAAAGATAAGTTCTTTCCAAATGACTGTAATCATATGACAATGAGCTATTGACAAAACATTCCTTTTATAAGTTATTAGCTACTTCATGCATGGTCCCTTATTAACAAGAACTGGGAAAAGAGCGAAGATTTAATCGAATATCTTGAAAATTGTTTTAAGGCTTTCAGTTTTCTGGCCGTCACTAGGATTTTATAGCTTGCATTAGTTCAATTGACATCACTCCTCATTGATTCAATTGTCAATATATCTGAATCATGTTGTTCATCTTCGTAATCATCATATTTACTGTTCCCAGTGGCTCTCAAGTCTGATTTATGTTCATGTTTGCAATCTTCGTGGAATTTTGGTTATTGTCGTTATCGATCTTTATCACGTACTGTAATGTAAGTAAAAAATTTACTTAAATTCTCCTCATCATTAAAATTACATTCATTCACTGTTTCAGAATATTGCTGGTAGCTGCTGTATTACTGGTTCGAATCTCAGAATTGTAGTACTCTGTATTCAGCAGCAGCAGCAAAATGTCCTTGTTATATCAACACAAGGAAAGCTTGTCGCGTTTACCATCTTGGTTAATGGTTAGAGGTAATTCTTCCTATAACGAATTTATCAATTTGTCGAAAATCTGTATGATAACATTTCGACATATAATGATTAGAAGTGTAGTAATGATCCGGATAAAAAGTTGCAGCATCAACAACTGTGATTAGGAAGTGATTCCAGATTGATGCATTTGAGGCTTTGATGTAGCAAACACTTGGGATTATTGGCCACTCAGATCTTTTCTTATCCTCTTTTATTTTCAAATCATTTGCTTTATTCTTGGCTTAATCTCCAACCTAACCTACCTTTGCTTTACATTTCACCTAGTTTGCTTCTATAGAACAAAGTTCCGAAGTTCAATCCTCTTCAGGTTGATCAAAGAATCCTTTCTTTCCCATTTTAAAGTAATTATATCATATCAAGTATTGTTTTCAGATGATCTTTTAGGTTTAAACACGCATATTAAAAAGTTCACTAAGGTGAGGGTAAGGATATGAGAAAGAGAGTACGGATTTTTTTGTAGATATTCTAAAGCAAATACAGAGAACTATTTGTGGACTTAAGGAGTATAAATACACCTAGTTAAAACTTCATAACATTAAGTATGAATTAATTAAAGGAAAAATTGGGTTTAACTGTTGAATAATCCTAGTCGATTTTCTTCTAATAATCTCAACTTTGAATTATTATAGTATAATTGAACTTTAGAAGGTATTAATTTTTATCGGGCTAAAATGACATATAACCTATCAAATAGATATTTTTTTCTTTCCTTTGACTTCAGTCAACTTCGAGTCACCACCCCTTTGACCTCCCTCCCAACCACCATCTCCCGTTCTCCCCTTCCTCCAAACCACGCCAACCCACATTTTCCCCTCCCCTTTCCCACCATCCTCACCATCACAACACCAACCCCATAAATTCTCTCTCCTTAAACCGTCGACATCTCTCTTCTCTCTCCTCGAACCCAACCACAACTTCCTCTACTTTTGTCGTGCGAAATTGCAAATACACCAACTACTCCTCAACAATTGTGGCGTCGGACCTTGAAAAGCTAGTCAACGAAACCCACTGTAGCAGATACATTAGCCTTAGTTGGATTGGTTTGGGGACTGGAAGGGGAGGGGGTGGAGGAAGGTGGTGGTTGGATTATTTTTAATATTTTTTTTTACCATTCACGTGTTGTTACGTGTTGATAGGAGTGCTAATCGAGTTGAGCAGTTCGTAAGCAACTCGGACTCGATCAAAGCTCGATCAAAACTTTGACTCGATTGACTCGTCTCAACTCGAGATGTTAACGAGCACGAGTTGAGCTAGCTCTGATAAGCTCGTGAACCACTCGATAATGTGTTTTATTAATATAGAATATACAAACAAAGTTATTACCATGAATAAATTTGACACTTAATAAGAGTTAACCTTTATATTATCAAAAAAAAAAAAAAAGTAAACCTTTAATAATAATAAAAAAAAATTTTAAAAAACTATATATAGTGAGAAGAAAAAAAAAACAATAAAGGCCTAGAATTTTAGAAGGGCTAAAACTTTAACAAGCAAATCGTGACTCGACTTGAAACTTTACGAGCAGGAGTCGAGTAGTTTTATTGGCTCGAAACATTAAATAACACAAGTTGAGCATATGACAAAAGTTTTCGAGTCGAATCGAGCACCTCGTAGGTCGTGATCGACTCGTTCGATTAGCACCCCTACGTGTTGAAGTAACCTATGGAACTGTAATAGATTGGTGACTGAAACCTAATAAAATAAAGTCATACTTGTATTTGCCTATTTGGTATAGTCGTAGAGAAAACAATTGTTGCAACACGAGGCGCGTAATCCTTGTTTTATCATTTTGAATACAATCTAAGAGCTACAGTCTTGGTCAATATATTAACTCAAAAAGAACTCCTTTAATTCTCAAACCTAATTAGTTGTGATGATGAGTTAAGACCATCAATTGTCACAATGTGGTTAGGTGGACCAAGCTAGGCTTAGATAAAGACCCAACCTCCTATATAGCATGTCCAATGAGTAGAATGTTTTATGCAAATAATGTATTTTAATAGCTTATTTGCATATATAATTTAGCTTATCTACTAAACAACTATCCACTATAGGATTGGTAAGTCTTTTTAAAAACATTGTAATGATATTACTATCTCAAGTACAAGTTATGATTTTGGAGTCAAGTTTCTTAAATTAACAATTTTAGTGTAATTGTTACCCTAGATTGAGATTTGAGAGTTAAGGAAGCATATTAAACAATTGATTAAGGTACCAATCTCTTAGGCAAACTCCAAGAAAGCTTTTTTCAAAGAAAATTGATACCTTAAAGCAAAAATACATAAACTTTACTAGAATTTATTAAAGAGATCAATACTCGATCAAATCAATCTCTTTGCTCAATCTAAGAAGCCAAACATAAATACGGAGTTCAAACATTTTTTAGTAACGATTTTGTTCTGTAACTTTATTGTTAAATTGACGACTTCTGATTTGCAAAAATCACTACTTTAAATAGTGATTTTGCAAATAAGCTATTAAAAAGTTTATTATTTGTGTTTTCCTATTAGTAGACATCTAGATTCCTCCACATATAGATTGTTAAAGAAGCTCTATTTCGCTAGGTCTTCTTTAAAACAAATAACTATGTTGGGTGTTAAACTCTTTATTAAAAACTTGATTCCATTATGATAACATTGTAAATTCTTTAATTTTGTCTAATACTATAGTGTTTATATTATTTCGTCATATCTAATTATATCATAGAAAACGATAAGCCCTTTTCACTTGGTGTGAATAAAGTAAAATTGGCCCCAATGTTTGGCGACTTTTTTTAGTCCAAGATTTGCAAATCACCACTATGGATAGTTTGCTCAAAAGCATTGGTCAATTTCATTTGTAAAATATTATTTATCAAATATTATCATAAAATGAGGAACTTGTAGTAATAAGTTAATTGATGATGTTTTAGTGGAGAATTTGTTTCCTTTTAACTTCAAAAGGGAAGAAAGCCCATGCACTCAAACAATGAAATGGTCTCATCTTTGATTGGTGCTCCTTCACTAGATGAACAAAGCATATAATTAATTAGTGTGATGTCCCAATCTGATTAGTGGCCATATTACGATTTGTGCTACCATTTAAGCTATGTTCAATTTACTTTATTTTCGTTTAATTTAATTTTCATAAGTTATAGTCAGTTTAAATTGGTAAATATAAGGGTTAATAAGTTTGAATAAGAAAAGAGTTGATAATTTATATATAAGATAAATATAAGGCTATTAAGTTCCAATAAAGTCTAATAAAATCTTATATTGTTCAATAAGGCATTGTTTAGATAATATAAGAACCGGTTGTGCATTAAACACATGTAGGTAATCTAGATAAAATTAACTACTATGAATAACTTAACACAAACTCTTTGATAATCTGAAGAAGTCATTGTCTAAACAGTCATAAAAAAGTTAAATTTATTGAAATTAATCTCCTTTTGTAGATCTAATTGATACTAACGTGACTAGACCTAGTTTACCTAATTAGTTAATTAAATAGAATATGAGGACATTTTTACACTTGAGTGGAGAAAGAATAATTTAATTTCATGGTGACTAGAGCTAAAATAAACCTCTCATTCTCATGGATGTCTCTAGAAGAAAGTGATATCTCTAATACAAAATTTAGAAGTATATTAATAAGTGTTGTGTGTTCATATGGACACATAGTATTTTTCTTTCATCATCGTTTGTGTAGATTTTGGTTAGAAGATATTGGTGTGAAATGTATCTTTTTATTTTTTTCCATTTATTTCACATGGTTTATGTGTATACATATTCCTTTTTGTGTGCCTAGAGACTCGTAAAAAGAAATTTTATTTCAAGTCTTAAGTACCAAAATTTTATGTAAGATAGTATATCAGTTAAAACAAACTTATTCTATTCGTGAAAACTCTAGAAAATAAAAAAAGGTGTGAAGTAATAAATATCCAAATATCATGACAACAACATAGGGTTGTTACAATAATAAATAATAAGCCTCATTTCTATTATTTGGATGAATGACAACAACATAGGGTCATTTACAATAATAAGCCTCATTTCTATGATTAAATTGAAAATCATGCTAATGAATTAATTCTAGAAAGTTTGCTAGTGAAAAATACCTATCACATGTTTCTCAAGTGATATTTTATATGTGGTTCCTTAAATATGCCAATAATGTTGTATTATCTTTACATACTTTAATAATAGGTCTCAATCCGGGGCCCTTTGTGTTAATTTCATGTCTAAACCAAAAATTATTTTGTATTAATAGAAGTTTAATACGAACTAGTAATCTAGCGAAAGGTGGCATATGAGTCGTGGTGTTAGTTAATTTATCTTAATTTACTAATTAGAGCACTCGTGAAACACTAATACTCCCAATTAAGGCAAATCAAACATCGAAATCATTTGACATCTTTAGGTAATAATTAATCTAATGATAATTATTTATCTTTATTGTATAATTGATGTCCTTATTAGTGATAGAAAGAGGATCACAACTTTAGTCAAAAAAAACATTTGGCGATTGGTAGGGAAATTACGGAAGATATTGATGTTGTGTGTCCATGATTATGATGTAAATGAGAGAGACAAGTGACACAAATTGATATCTTGTATAGTACACAAATCATTTAAAGTGTATTGTAACCTATAGAGACATTGAGGGCCAAACACATTTTTCACTGTCCTAAAGTATTACATAATTGATGTAACTTCTCTAGTCCATATTTTATTATTTATCCACCAATTCAAAGTAATTTTTGCTACGTAATTTGCTTGTCCATCGATCGATCACTCGAGTACGCATTTGTTCAGCACTAACGAATGTAAAAAGATTGGAGTCACAATGTACAATAGAGTCACTTAGCAAGGTACAATAGTCACTTATGCAATCGAACTCAATGAACTGAGTTTAATTTATTTAAAAATGTTATTTTGGGGGGGTTGCAAAAGTAACGATACCTATGACATCGGCTCGTTCTTAAGAAATAACGGTGTTTAGACATAAATTTCGTAATATTGATCTTGAGTGCACCAACTATACAACTATATCTTGGGAGTAAGAGTATCAAAATCTTGTTCGAGTGCACTACACTATACGGTTGGATATAACATGTGACATAAATGATGTAAAATCCTTATGTTCGACCTGAAACATTGAAATTTCATTATTTTTGAATGATAAAATTAGCTCGTGCAACATCACCAATTACTATAACTTGTGGTAAAGTACAACACGTTTCGTTGTCAAAAAAAAAAGTACAACACGTCACGTAATTACACAAATAACATTAAAATCTAAAGTTTCGCTAGTCATGTGTCTACACTTAAATTGATTGCCTCCCCTCCTAAAAAAGGAATGAGGAGGTACAAAACGGATGGAATGACCCAAATGTGGAGGGCAAGTGTGGTGGCCTGGGATGGTTATTAAAGCTCCTTGTTTTGACGAGGATAGTGTGATGAGAGTGATACCAAAATTCCTTAATTAATTGTTTTATAAAAAAGGATTTATGGTAGATTGGACTTCTTATAATTGAATTGCCTAGATGATTGTACCTTTACTTTGGCTTTAAGTATTGTGCTAAACAAATAGAACTTTTCACCTTACTTTGGCTTCTATTAATCTACCAAGACAACCCATAGTTCTATGTGCATCAAGAGCACCCTGCGCCCAATATGAGTCTCCCAATCTAGTGTGTGCATCGATAAAACGTTAACACACCGGACTAATAAGAGCACTATCGTGGATACTCACAAGTGCATGAAATAATTTACGCTTTTGATAAACTAAGGGTTATTATTGTTTTGACTGCTGGTAATGATTAAGTGTTATTATTGTTGCATTGAGGGCTGAGGTGCGGTTTAGACAGAAAGAGAAAGGATATAAAGTGCAGCAAGTTTCTGCTTCATCATTAAGTAAATCCAGTGCTCCAAATACAATCATATCCAGCTATACATAAAAGAGCAAGAGACTAAATAACACAAAGTTGCACAAATTAAAGTAACTCAACTCAGCAACAAAAACAATCTATAAAAATTCAAAAGAAGCTTCTTTTGTTCATCTACTAGTACATCTAAAAAAGCTGTCCCAACCTCTCTTTTTCATGACTAATATCTTGCATGATCTCTTACCAATTTAGAGAGTCCTAAGTAACAATGAACAGAAGTAACTGTCCAATAGGAGGGAGACAAACCCGCCGACCGGGGCGATAATTAAAGATGATTACCTAAGCTGTCTAATTGTTCAAACCAACATAGTGTTGTACAAAATCTATAAACCACTAGAATAATCAAACAAGAAAATAGCAATGAAGTAGATTGATTCTCTCTATTTTGTTGCAACATAGCCAAAGTTGTAATTTTTTAGGACAATTTACTGAATGTCGGTAATATGTTTGACCAATTGGTAGTGCTGAAGAAGCCTACTAGCTTCCCTCACACCACTGAAATAAGCACCATGTGTTGTGGAGTAATGGGTTCTATGTGTTGCTTCCCCAGCAAAGAGGACTTGTAGAGGTGGCGAACCGGTCGTAGAGCCACGGTTCTCGGCTCTTGGCAATGGTTGAGCCAGTGTATCGAAATCATCACCACTAGATCCCACTGCAACATAACTGTATGACCCTAAGAACAAGGGGTCTGTACCCCATTTGCTCTTCAATACTTCTCTGAACTCAAACTCTGAATCCTTAAACTCCATATTGCCATTGCATTCTTCATGGAATTGATTAGGATTTGAGATAAAACTCGAAATCGTTGTCGAAACACCATCGATAACGGCCTCATCATTGAGAGACTCAAGCTCTAGAGCTTCTTTCCCTGCAAACCAGGAAATCAACACACTAGAATTGTTGTAAATTGGGTAAATGGAAGATGTTTTTCTCATCCACCATGGAATTTTCTTATGCCGAAACTCGGAATCTGGCCTATGAAACACCATTTTCAAGAAGGGCATCTTACAAAGATTGCAATCTTCTTGACTTTCTGATGGACTTAATTGTAAGAACAACTTGTTGACCACACCATACCCAAGTCTCAAAATTGCTTCTTTTTTGACAAAAGGCAGTGGTGGACTAAACAACCCTGCACCAGATTCTTCACTGACTCCAGCTTTTAGTATACCCAGTGAAACTGTGACAATGACATGATCTGCTTGCATAATTGAACCATCAGAAAAATGCAATTTCACAGGTTTACTACTGATATTACCACTAAGATCATCATTTTCAGATCCTAGCCATTCAATCTTGACAACTTTCCTACCTAATTGAATCATACCAGGGGGTAAAACTGAGGCCAAGTACTCAACAATGGTAATATAACCTCGAGGGATCGTGATCTCGTCCCCAGAAAACATCCGGTACTCGCTTTCTGCAGCATAATCAAGATTAAACAGATCACCAGCACCAGTATATGTTCTCTGGGTATTCTCACAAACAGCAAAAATAGCCTCTTCCAGCATTTTCCTGCTCCAATTCCCACAAACCTTAACCTCCTCAATATTTTCGGATTTATCGGACTTTGAATCCCAGTACTGCTGCAGCCCAAGCTTCAGAAATTCACCAATGCTGCTCACCTGAATCCCACCCAGATCACCCTTTTCAGCTTTGCATTGAGCAACACTCATTAACCTATCAAAAAGTGATGAAATTGGATCAACAATATCAGGATTTACCACAAACCCACCTTCAGCTCTAGTCTCAGTTACTGATCTTTTCTCCTCAAACAAATCACCCATACATTCCCATGGTTTCTCAGACTCTAAAGATTTAATCTTTTGAGCAATTTCATAAACTGGACTCCCACAAATCCCATGAATCCAAGTAGCACCCATCTCAATTCTATCACCCCCAAATTCTCTAGTGTTAATTCTACCCCCAATTCTCTGCCCACCTTCAACTATACACAAATCAAATGCATCTTTTCCCCCTGATGCTGTATACAGCTTATGGGCTGCTGTTATACCTGCCATTCCTGCTCCAATTATCACAATTTTTGGCCTTTCAGCCACCATTTTCACCAGATTATTACAACAGTTTTCTGCTTGTTTTGTTTCAGGATGATTGAATTTTTTTCTCTGAGGCAAAACAGCAAACACTTGGTGGGCATTCACAAAAATGATGAAAAATGTAAAGGGAAGAGAGAGAAAAGGGAAAAAAAGAACAAATTATTGAAGGGTCTGTGTGGTGGGAAAGAGGTGTTGATAAGAAATTTATAAAGGGTGGAAATTATGAGTTGTTTATGGCATCTAAGAGGCACAGTCACATTAGCAGTTGCATCTCTTTCCTTTTACTTTAATTTAATTAATTTATGAAAGATTTTAGGTAATCATGTAAATAAAAGACAGGACTTTACTTTTAATTGAGCTCTACTGAAGTTAAGGATGTTAATTATAGGACTACCAAATGCTTCTTATGGTTATCATAGCTCCACACTTGTTGCAACTACTTGTAACACTCGTAAGCTACTATTCACGGCAGGTGTCTGGTCTTCACTCTTCTCCACCTTTTTTTTTTTTATTTTTTTTTATTTTTTTTTTGTCCTCGACGTTTAGGTAGAGGTGTCAAAATCAGACCCGACCAACCTAGTAAATCTCATTCAATTTCACGTGAAATTACCTGATTTAGATTTTGACTTGTATGTGCATGCTAATTTAGCATGACTCAAATTTGATTTGGATCCAACCCAATCCAATTGAACCCCAACCCAGTCAGTGTGTTGACACCATTGGTCGCTGGCAGGTCGCTGGTTTGATTAGCCTACTTTGGGTGGTCGACTGGTTGTTCATACGGAGTATCGAGTTTTTGTTGGTTGTTTAACTTTTATTTGTCAAAAACTTGTTTGCTAAAATTGATTGTTGGATATTATTAGCAACTTAGGTAAGCAAAAGACAAAAACAAACTCTAAACATCTTTTTTCATTTTAGGCTTGTTCACATTTATTGAAATGAGCTGAACTAAACCGAACTGAATTGAACCAAACTGAATTGAATAGAGTTGAAATGAACATTGTATTAACGAAGGAAATTAGACGCTGAAATGAACTGAATTGATTGGAGCTGAACTGAAATAAACTGAGCTGAAATTAAGCCGAAGTGAACAGGTCATTTGGCTACATATTGCTTTTTTCATTGTAGCTGAAAAAGTCATTTATCAAACAATTTTTTTGAATATTTGCCCAAACGAAAAAAATTCGAAGTTAATCGACTTTCATGAATTCATTGTTCAGTAAAAATACATTACTATACTTGTTTGAGTCTTTTACTGTAACTCTTTAAGGTTATGTGATGTGCCACAAAATGTTAAAAATTGCTATTTATTTTTTACTTTTCTTTTCAAGTGTTTTCTATTTTTAAGCTAGTGCATTGTGTATTTGAAATATTCTTACACTCTTCTTGTTACTTGTTGAAAAATATTGTTTACATTAACATTTCCTCTGTCACATAGCAAAGTTTTAAAAGATATACCTTTAATCATTAATATCTTAAAGTACACATCAATACAAAAAAATTATGTAATTTGTATATTACTTGGTATAAACTTCACATTGAGACAAAATCTAACATTATAATATTAATGAAAGTTTTTCTTTCTTTCTTTTTTTTTTTCAAATTTTGCAAAATTTTACTATGAAAAATGAAATGAGCACTATATTAGAGGAAGTATTAGTTTAAAGTCCGTGTGATGTAGAGTAACGTGCAAAAAAGTAAAAAACTCGTATAAGTTTGAAGTGTATCGCTAATTGAGATGAGTTTACTTGGGTCATAATTCCAAGTTTCCAACATGATAAATCGGTCAATTATGAAAATTTTGATATGTATCCAATTCGAAACATTTCAAATATTATTATGTTAAATTTTGGTTTTTAGATCAAAATATTTCGGATTGAACCATAGATTTATAGGAAATATGCAATCCTTATCCGATTTGACAATTTGAATTTTTTTTTTCGGATACCCAATTCCAAGTGGATTGCTAAACATCGCCCGCAAATCTCCACATAAAACCCACAAATCTATATTGAATTTACCTTATTGCCCTAGACCTAAAATAAAAAAATCTAACCCATACCCACACTCTAATAACCCGAAAATACGGCAATGTCGAGGCGGCAAGGTAAGGACTTGGCGGCCACAGCGGCGGAGGGAAGGACGGCTCACGGTGGCAGGGTTTTTTTTTTTAAAAAAAAAAATTAAAAAAAAAACCAGAAGTGGTGGGGCGCCTGGCCAGGACGCCCAGCCCCTGGTGGTGGCGTCTGCTCCGGCCGCCGGAACCAGGGGGCTGGCGTCTGACCTGGACGCCTAGCCACGGTTGTGGCGTTTTCCAGAGGCGCCACCGCCGTGGCTGGGCGTCCAGGTCAGACGCCAGCCCCCTGGTTCCGGCGGCCGGAGCAGACGCCACCACCAGGGGCTGGGCGTCCTGCCCCACCACTTTTTTTTTTTTTTTTTTTTTTTTTTGAAAATCAGAATTCTTTTGTTAATGTTTAATATTTTTGTTTTATGTGTTAATGTTTTTTTTCTAATATATATATATATTTTTTTTTTGAAAATCAGAATTTTTTGTGTTAATGTTTAATTTTTTTTGTTTTATGTGTTAATTTTTCATATGTGTTAATTTTTTTGTATGTGGTAATTTTTTGTGTTAATAAATAGTGTTTAAATTTTTTACATTATGTAAATTTTTATTTGTAAATTTCATTTCTATATATAATTTACACATACAAAATTAAATATAATTTTATTAACACATATTTAAAACATAATTTCAAATTAAAACAATTTTTTTTTGAACTTATTAACACATATTTAATTTCAAATTTAACAAAGTTAAAAAACCACAAAAAAACAAAAACTTTAAATAAAATTACAAAAAGTTTAAATAAAATTACAAAAAAAAAAAAAAAAAAAATCAAAAAGTAGGGGTGGCGTCTGGCCAGGACGCCACAGCCATGGTGGCGACGTCTGGCCAGGACGCCACAGCCATGGTGGCGGCGTCTGGCCAGGACGCCACAACCGTGGTGGCGGCGTCCTTGCCAGGCGCCACTGCCACGGTTGCGGCGTCCCGGCCAGACGCCACCGCCATGGTGGCGGCGTCCTGACCATATGCCACCCCTACTTTTCTTAATTTTTCCCCGGATTATCTCGCTTTCCGGCGACGATGACGGCTCTCCGGTGTCCCTCGGCAATCCACTCCAGCTCCACATTCTTCGTGAGAGTGAATTACGGTTTTGGTAAAAATTAGAAAAAGGGCAAAAGAGTCAAAGTAAAAATAATTGTGGGCTTTATGTAGAGATTTGTGGGCGATGTTTAACAAATCCCTCTAAACATCCCAAACCAAAAAACAGATGGAATGTACAAAATTTGAGATAAAATTGCCGAATTTTCGGATTGATCAAATGGATCCTTTTAAAATACTTATTTACGAGAATGTCACTTGATTTATTTATTTATTTATTGATTTTAGTTTAATATTTTTTAGGAAAATGATATACATATCCCTTAGAGCTACATATAAGCATTAAAAATACTCTTGAAAGTGTTTAAATTTAGAAAATCATGACAAATTCACACTAATTACACTGATCTATGCGTGTTTTTTGTCATGAATTACTAATTTTATACAATTTTCAAGAGTGTTTTTAATGCTTATATATAGCCTTAAGGGCTATGTATAGCATTACCCTATTTTTTATTATCAAATTACACGTTGATTTATTTATTTAAGTTTAATATTTTATATAAAGCTTCTGTTCATTTGATCTTAAAAAATTATCTAACTCTCTTCAACTGGTTTCAGATTTTATGTACTCGTATGTCAGATGAAAAGCGATTTTAATCCTAATTAATTGCTCCTAATTGATCGAGTACGATGATCCATTAACTCCATGATTTTGTTACTACTTGTATACGGATTTAGTACTTGCAATTCCCAACAAGTGGAAAACTGAACACAGATCTGTTAATATTCATTTAATAGCTAATCTTCGTTGATTCATTTTTAATCTTTTAAACAAGCCTTTAATCTTCATAAAAAACTGTGCAGATACGTCCCGTATCTTAGTATTAATTGAGAGAGAAGACAATAGTCCTAAAAAAATTCACTACTCCATCCATCCCTTTTTTACATTCCTGCTTTTCTTGTTTGGGTATTCCGAAATTACATTCCTCCTTTTCTTTTTTAGTAAGTGTTTTTTTTTTTCCAAATATCCCAAATAATTCCTCTTTTTCTGTTTTGTAATTAATGCTCACTCTTATTTTCTCAATCCTATATTAAATGAATATGATTGGTTCTTAACTTTCTAACAGGAGCATGTTATTGGTCCTTTTTTTTCAAAGGATTGATGATATTGCATCATTAAATATTAATCTATCTTTGTTTTCCTCAAATACATCATTTAATGTTTTGTACTTCCCATTGTGTTTTGTTTTATTGTTATTTGTTTTATTCTTAGTTTCTTAATTCCCGTGTAATTTTACAAATATGAATGTAAAAAAGAGAAGGAGGGATAGCATTTTAGCAATAGATACACCGTACACCAATATTTTATTATAAACCTCCCTCAAAGGGTGTCCGTTTTTAATTAATTGCAACATTGTCTTTGTGACATGCTGTAATTTGAGGTCGAGATTATTTTTGATCAAATAATTTTCACTCATTCCTTCTCTAATGCATGATCTGTGCGTCCGGGTGTATCATGCGCTCATGGTGCACCCGGTTAAATAAAAAAAAGGCGGAAAAAACATTTAGATGTTCGAAAAAGAACATGTAGATTTTTGAAAAAGAACATGTTTGGTGTTTAACAATGAACATGATTCATTAAAAAACATAAAGACATTACAAAAAGAACGTGATATAAACTTTATTAAAATTTTATTAAAAATTACATTAACGGAAAAAATCTTTAATAATGATATCATTTCCCAAAAGTAGCTTTCTCTCTCCAAAAATTTAACTTTTTATAATAATTTTAGTTTTCTCTCCCTAAAATATATTCAACTACAAAAATTCAAAATTTCATTTTCAAATTAAATTTCAAAATTCAAAATAACATAGGTTAAAAGAACATAAGTTATAAGTTATAATGTAAAAAACATATAATTCATATATACCCGAAGAACACATTGATCAAACTCAAACAGCATACGATAATAAAAAAAAATGATATACGATAATAAAAAATAAAAAAAAGAAGAATTTGTGCGTCACTTATTACCTCAAAAAACATACGAGCCAAATTCAAAGAAGATACTTTATATTATTGAAACCAAAAAATATGTTTAATTACCATATGTTAAAGAATATAAGTATAAAAGAACATATTATCAAACACATATGAGTATGTTCTTTAATTTGTCAAAAATAAATACTCCCTTCGTGTTTTTTTAAGTGTTACATTTTGACTGGCACATTATTTTAGGCAATTTAATTGACTTAAATCAAATAAGAGGCAAGTGAGGTAGTTGGAGTATTAAAAAATTGTAAAAGAAAGATAG